TATTGCTGTAAGTCCAGATTTGTTGCTTCACCCTCCAAAAGCCCCAGGAAAAAGGACAAATTCAATGGCCTCAGAAGTGGAAAGTGTCATCAAATCATTCAATTTAGCCCCAAATGAGTAGAAAAAAGCTGGCTGGTTAACTCAAGTCCATGCCATAAGGGGGACAAACTTGCAACCTCCATTTTGCTCTATCCAGTCCTGCCCTTGATGGAAAGGGTGTTTTTTTTTTTCCGATTTAGGCTGAGTTGGGGCCCAGAGAGCAGGTAGAGGATGGTAGCCAAGTTTTCACAGAGGGTTAGTAAGGGAAGTCAGACAGCTCCCCCACTCCATATTCTTGCGGTGCCAGAACAGTTGTGAACAGCCTGTCCACAGCATTCAGGGATTCATACCTTCCTCCTCTCCCAACAAGATCTCTCCCAGCTGAGATCTCTGGATTTGCCCCAGCCTGGAGAGCCTGTACCAACATATGTCCTCATCCATATGGTTTTTGACATCACTATTTGGAAACCAGAGTTCCCTACTAAACTTCAAAAGAGACACTCAGCACAAAAAGATTGCCAACAACCACCTTATCCTCTGTTAGGCATAATGTACTATATTACAAGTAAAAGGAATCAAAACTCGTGGAAGAGGTGACACTTTTATTAGACCCACTGGATATTTGCAAACAAATTATTTTATTTATTTGCAAGCTTTCAGGCACATTCACCCTTCATCAGGCAGAGGAGAGAGCAGAGATTGTAAAAGTTCTCCTAGGCAGAAATGAAAATTCATATCCGTATTACAAGCAACGTGCCCCCCCCCCAATGCTTTCGTATAAAATGCATTTCCGTGGAGCTTTTTAATATAGCCACCAGATGGTGCTCCTCCATTGCTCTTGATGGCTTAAAAAAAGGTAGGGAAGCCAATAAATGGAGCGAGTGGATGAACATGCGAACAGATGCGAGGGCGTGCACACGTGGGCATGGCATCCGCCTCTGCCGTGGAACGGTTCCTCTTGTATCCGATCCCCCTAAAAACGTATGCTGACCACCCGTTTTCTCCCACATTTGTTACACGGTCTAATGATGGTTTTTCCTCCTGCAGTGATCTGGCTGGGTAGGAAAGCTAAACCAGTAGCTCAGGTATGGGAAGCTTGCTAAATAAGAGACATGGCTTTTTTGCCCAGGGCTCTGAACCATGGTCTTTGGAGGTCTAGTTCAAGGCCAGCTGTGGCCAGTTCCTCTACAACCCTGGCAGGGGCACTGAATCATAGAGAACTAGGATGGGAAGGGACCTTGAGAGGTCATCCAGTCCCACCCCCTGCCTGAGGCACACTTATCCCTATACAAACCCCTCAATTAACTTCTTAGCAAAACCACAGAGGTCACTTCGGATGAGAACAAAGAAAGCACTTGAGTGGAACCGAGGCTCCCGAATACAATATTATTGCCTGCTTAACTCTCTCCAAACCCTGGACCTGCAAAGGCAGGGGACTCTGGGGACTGTCCAGAATTGCACCAACTACAGCAGCTCAGGACTTGGCTCATGCTGAAGTCAGATGGGGAGCCAGCTGCTTCTCTGTCCAAGTCCCCTGAGCCTTGTGATCCATTAGGGTGAGCAAACTTCACATGCCACACCAGGATCAGGACCCTCAGAAAAGCAGTTTCCTCCACTTCCCTTGAAGATAAGGCTGGAGGAGGTGGTAGCAAGGCAGTCCTTTGACATAATAGCCTGGTGGTTTGAGCACTCACCTAGGAAGTGAAATGCCTGGGTTATACACTTCCATCAGACTACATTGCCTGCTCATAGTGAGTGGGGGCAGGCAGTCTCTACCCATCTTGTCGAAGATGCATCACTCTGCAAAGAACTCAAGGTTGTGGCACCAGAACAAGGAGGGCATTAGCTTTCTAATCTAGTGGTTGCAACATTCACATGGGAGGGGGACGTGTAGTCAAGTCCTTTCAGGTATAAGGCAGATCAGAACCTGCGTCTTCTCCTCCTCCGGTGAGTAGGCAATGGCCTGCTAATTAAAGGGGTCAGACAGGGCTCTTCAGATGTATTTTAGGGCTCCCAAACCTACAAGGATGCTCTGAGAGCCCTGCTACAGTTTGGGTATGAGCTATGGAGCCCTGTCAAGTTGTGAGCACTTCTGGGCAAGGCCAGTGGCCAACATGTAAAGCATTTTAGTGGAGTTGAATTAAACACCTGGACACCAGCACCAAGGTTAAGTTTCACACCGAGGTGCTTTAAGCCTATTTGCAAATCAAGGCCCAAGAGCTGGGAATTGCCCCATGTCCAACAGCTTAGGCATTTGTGCTCTTCTTACAGGAATGTTTGCAATTCTCACACCTCTCTTCTCTTCCCTCCCCACCTCCAGGCCACCACAGAGCCTCCAAAAAAGAAGCCAGATCCTGTCACTTCAGAGACGGTGGTTTTCTGGGGGATGCGCCTCTGGCAGGTGGTTGGAGTCTTTGCCATCTTCGTCCTATCAGTCAGTAAGTTATCATTTTCTACCCTCCTAGGTCACCCTGGCACCATCTCACCTGCCAACCCCTGTTGACCCCATCAGACTCAGAGGGAAAACCACCACTGGGGTCAACAAAAATGAGATGGGATTCTTCCTCTGGCATTACTGCATTAGTCTTCAGTAGATTGGGATGGGATTTTGAAAGGAAACAGTTTGAGAAATCCAGGTTTGCATTGTGCCAGAAGTCAGACTAGGTCATCATAATGGCTCTGACCTTCCCTTGGTCATGGCCCTTAACCTCTTTGATGGCTTTAGGTGTCCTGACCTTCCCTTAACCTCTTGGATGGCTTTGTGTCCCAGATTCCTCAATCTATGCATATCTCTTCGGGGGAAAGAATGAGATTTGAAATGTAGACAGGACTTTCATTCAAAGACTTTGCTAGTTGTAGTTTCACTGGTAGACAACAATCTCAGTGGAGAGACAGCTTGCATAGTAATAACTAAGTAGTTTTAATTTTTGTTTTTTAAATAGCTTAATCTAGACTGGGGTCAGGAGAGTTTGCAAGCACATAAGACCCCCTCCGGGCCACCCTTAAGGCACCCTCCTCCTTTGACAGCAAACCCTTAATCGTACTCTTTGAAAGCAGGTTTTCAATCACTACATGGTGACTTCATCTAGACCACATTTCCTTAGCATCAAAAGCCTATTTCACAAGCTACCTGTCTCACATGACTTTCTAAAATAAGGATGAATCATTTCTACTGGTTCACTCTTATCCAGTAGGCCTGTCACGCTGCCAAGGCAAGTATCTGTACTGGTTTGAATGTGACTAGCTCTTGACAGACCCATGTTGGCTTTTTTTTTTTTTTTTAAATCACCTCCTTGTTCTCAAAATGCTTACAAATTGATAACCAAATACTTTATTCCACTATCTTTCCCAGTATCAGTTAAGCTGACTGATCTATAAATTCCCCAAGGGCTCTTCATTCCTCTTTTTTAATAGATAAGTATTATGTTAGTCCTTCTTTAGTCCTCTGCCATCCACCTTGTCTTCTACTCAGAGTCATTAATGGTTCAGATTACTCACAAACTAGCTGAAGCAATCTAGATGACTTTTATCAGGCCTCACTAGCCTGAAAACAACCAGCTGATCTAAATAGTCCTTAGCCTGAGTTTTCTCCATTTCAGTCCATGCTCCTTAGCCCCAGTGAAAATGAAGTACCTGGTCATCTTCTTATGCACAGACTATACACAAAGGAAGCACTGAAGACTTTGGGTTTCCCTACGTCATCTGTTATTTAATGGGGGAAGAGAGCAAATAAGGCCTACACATTCTCATGAGGTTCAACAAGGACAACTGTAAAATCCTGCACTTAGGAGGGAGCAATCCCATGCACTGGTGCAGGCTGGGGCTGACTGGGCTGGGCAGCAGCTCTGCAGAAGAGGACCTGGGGGTGACAGTGGACAAGAAGATGGACATGAGTCCATCTGTGCCCTTGGTGACAAGAAGGCTACTAGCATCCTGGGCTGCACTGGTAGAAGTGTTGCCAGCAGATGGAGGGCAGTGATTCTTCCCCTCTATTCAGCACTGGGGAGGCCACATCCCTAGTCCATGTCCAGTTTTGGGCCCTCACTACAGAAAGGATGTGGACACATTGGAGAGAGACCAGCGGAGGGTAATGAAAATGGTTTGGGGACTAGGCATGGGCAACTGGTGCCTCCTGAGTATGGGGGGCACCAGATCACCAATGGGGGGGCAGCAGCCAATCACTGAGCCAGCAGCAAAACTGGACGTGCACTTCCAGTTTCGCAGCTGGCACTTCCAGGGGGTGCACGTGCACCCACTATGCATCATCAATGAGGCACACACATGACTTGCAAGGAGGAGCTGAGGGAACTGGGCTTAGTCTGCAGAAGAGAAGACCGAGATGGGGATTGAATAGCAGCCTTCACCTCCCTGCAGAGAGTTGCAAAGAGGATGGAGCTGAATGTTCCTCCCATGAGACTCCACCTACCAGATCCCTTAGATTGTCAAAGTCTATTTAATTGCAACTCAATGGCCTTCTTCTGTTGCTCTCATTCCTTCCATTACTCACCAGCTGCCACATTTCCCTGCCTTCTGCCTCCTTTCAAACTAACGCACTGTCTACTCAGCCAACTACCCCTGTACTCAAAAATAAAAGACTGGGAGAGAAGAGCTGCTCCCCCAGAAATTTCCTCTGCCTTCTAGAAGAAGAAGTTGCCCCAACACAGTCTAAGAACTTGAACACTTTCCTTTTCTAATAGGCATCTGGGTTAAGATCTCAGCAACAACCTGTCCTGCCTCTGATCAGGTGTTCAATACCAGATCCCTATCACAATATGGCCCCTACTCCCTTTCCTCTTTGATCATCACCCAGAGACATTCAAGGAGCCTGCTTCATTGTTCCTGAACATCAAAGCAAGTATATCCAAGTCTCCTCCCTTTCTCTTTCCCCCACCTATTTCCTCATCAAGCTGTGATTTCACCCACCAAGTCTCTGCTGATGCTATACACCCACCTTCCTTGCTCTTATTTAATTAACACAGTCATTCATCCCAGGCATCAAACAAAGTTCAAAGAAACCAAAAGTCGAAAGAGTCATACTGCCAAAAATCCTGGGATTCAACTAAAAAACGAAGACAATGCATTTCAAAGAGAGCAAGTGTGTACTTAAGATTTTAAATGGTCTTTCTGTTATGAGTCCTTAAGGGTCACAAGCCTGGTTCAAGCAAGCATGAAATACTGAATGCCTCCTTCCTTCTTCTTTCAAAAAAAGGGAAAGATGCTGAATTTCTCATAATCCCATGACTGAAGGAGCTGAAGCATTGAGAAAAAAAAGACTCAAGCTAAAATCCCAAGAACCGCCACATGCATATAACAAATGCATGTGCACCAAGGTGCACGATTTTAGCATCAGAAAGGAAAAGACGACTCAGAATAAAGTCCCGAGAACTGCCAGTTGCATATAGCAAATGTACCTGCACCAAGGTGCAGGATTTAAGTGTAATAGAGCAATCAATGAGTTTTTGGTGACCGTGTAGCAGTATTGGAGGCAAGAATCAAACCCAGTCAAGTAAGGGAATCTCTCACAAGTAATGAGGGCTAAAGCCCAGCCCTCAGAAGTACTGAAGTACATAAACCCCACTGAAAGCAAAGCCTAAAATCTCTCCAGGGCATTAAGCTATCTTTGATTCACAGATCACTGAGCCAAGGGCACTCAAATTCAAACGCACACAGACACAGCCACGCATCACCCAACAGAACCAAACTGTTGTGCCAGTGCAACACATGGTTTATTTTTGCAGGGCAGGAACATTATGGCAGAGGCATTTCCTGGTCTGCAGCTCTGGATAAAGCTCTGTTTCATCTCAACAGCCAAATAATAAACCAAAGGAAGCCAAACAATTGGAGGAGGGGTACAGTTTCAAAGATAAAAGGGATGTTTTTAAAAGCATCTACTGATTTTTTCACTTGAGGGATTTGACTGATTCTGTGAAAGTGAGAGAGAAACCATGCAGAGTAATACTTATCCCCCAAGGAGCAAAGTGATCTCAGCCAGAGCAAGATGGCTTAGAAAGTAGTAACACTGCCAAAACCCAGAATTAAGAGAATCAGCCCTCACCAGCTTCACCCCTCTGGCTCCTGCAAGGTGCCTCTCTCCTCCGGAGTCCACCCTCCAGACACACTGATGGTTCCCCAGGTTGGGAGCAGAGGCGGCCCACCTCTGAGCAGACGTGCACAGCTCGGTCTCAGCTGAGCTCCAGGATCTGCCCTTTGGGTCCTGGCCTCAGTCCAGATCAACCTTGTTGTGTGCTGCTTTCAACTGGAGCATTGGCTCAAGAAGGGTCTTTCTGTCTAGGTTCACCAATTGACTTGTGCTCTTGCCTTGGTTTCCAAAGCACTGTTAGCTATTAGCCAGAAGGAGATTGCACCAGGCTTCTCTATCTCACCCAGAGGAGGAGCATCTTTCACAGGGCTTTGGGAGGCTGTCTGATCAGAGTCCTGCCCCAGCTCCCCTTGGCTGGACAGCCACACCTGCTTCATCAGGTGTTTGCTTTTAAGCATTATGGTTTCTAACCTGCGCTCTTTAAACTCTCAGGCAGGTGGCAGCCTTGGATCACAAATGCAATTGCAGTGCTCAGTCTGGATCCCAGAACTGCAGTCTTATCAGATGCTAGACTTACTGTAAAAAAAAAACAACAACTCCAAACTTCAAAGTGCCTTTATTATACTGCAGGCACCTCAGCCAATGCTATGGACATTGCAATTTATGTAGCTAACAAGGTTAATGTGAACAAACATATGGAAAGGGATAATGAGCATTGCTCCTCAGAGCTCCAGACAGCAATTAGAGAGCAGGATGTAGGGAGCAGATGATGTTCCCTCTGCTACTGTAGGAGTCTTATACTCTCCTCTGAAGCACCTGGGGCTGGTTCCTGCCAGGGGCAGAACAGGGGAGGAGATGGACCTCCGCGTCTACCTTTTGCTACTGTTTCAATCAGTCTTCCCGGACTGTAATGCTCCTTGAAAAGAAAGGTGTCCTGGGTATATGCGGTCCTCTAAGCTGCAATGATCATCCTCTGGATTTCACTGGCAGAGACATAAACTCTCAAAAATACATTACTGGCTCTGTCTGTGGTTATATGAGTCTTATTCATTTCAGCATTAAGCCAATTTCAAAGAGGAAGCATTAAGCAATTTGGTAGATTTTCATTCCTATTAAAATGTTTTGATCTGTGTCTTGTAAGAGACAGTCTTCATAGTTTCTATGGGGAACCACATCTCTGAAAAGAAAGAACGAAATATAAGATCATTAAAAAAATGAAATAAAAGATGATATACATATATGTGTATATGAATGTCACATATATGATAAGGATGAATCATAGAATCATAGAAGTCGGGTCAGAAGGGACCTTGTAGACCTTCAAGTCCGACCCCCCACCTGGGCGGGAGAAAAGACTGGACTCAAATGAGTCCAGCCAGGTAGTCATCAAGCCTCTTC